AAACACAAAGCAACTTAAGACTTGGAAGGGAACAGAACCCCATCTCTACAAAAGATACAAAAACTACATGCCTCCTGTAGTCCCAGCTAACTTGGGAGGCTGGGGTGGGAGGATCACTTGAGCCTGGAAGGTTGAGGCTACAGTGAGCCATGATCACACAACTGCACTCCAGCCTGGAAAGACCGAGACCCTGTCTCAAAAACAAACAAAAAACAAAAAAGCCCTCTCTATACCCTATCAAATCCTACTGCATTTTAAAGTTCTGTATGGGTCGGATGCGGTGGCTCTTGCCTGTAATCCCAGCACTTTGGGAGGCTAAGGTGGGCAAATCCCTTGAGGTCAGGAGTTCAATACCAGCCTGGCCAACGTGGTGAAACCCCATCTCTACTAAAAACACAAAAATATTAGCTGGGCATAGTAGTCAGTGCCTGTAATCCCAGCTACTTGGGAGGCTAAGGCAAGAGAACTACTTGAACCGGGCTCAGAGACTGTGCCACTGCACTCTAGCCTGGGTAACAGAGAGCTCTTGTCTCAAAAATAAAAATAAAGTTCTGTTATAAAAAAAAAAAACTACCAAATATATACACACACGCAAATGTGATCAGGAGTACAAAGTATCTAATAATTAATATTAAAGCCCCTTCTCAAAGCTACTTACCTAGAAATATGAGAAAATGCATTAATAAGAAAAATTTTAAATCAGTTCATTTCAGCTAGGTGCAGTGGCTCACATCTGTAATCTTAGCACTTTGGGAGACTGACACGGGTGGATCACCTGAGGTCGGGAGCTCAAGACCAGCCTGGTCAACATGGTGAAACCTCGTCTTTACTAAAAATACAAAAATTACCTGGGTGTGGTGGCAGGCACCTGTTAGTTACCAGGCAGGCTGAGGCAGGAGAGCTGCTTGAACCTGGGAGGTGGAGGTTGCAGCGAGCCAAGACCGCACCACTGCACTCCAGCCTGGGTGACAGGCTGTCTCAAAAAAATAAAAATCAGTTCATTTCAATGGCGTTTCTTACAGCAACAACATAATAAAAATGCCCATCGGTTTTATGCAGAATGTTTCTTTAAATGACTCTGCCCCTCCAGTGCATCTCATTAAAAACTGTCAAAGGATACCTTCTCTTGAAGTGTGGCTAATTATATCACTTTCCTGCTCAAAGTCCCCTCTCACTGCCTTGAAGATAATTTTCACATTTCTTAGCCTAGAATATTTCACATTATTGTATGCCTTCTTTCCAACTCTATTATGCCTCTCAGAACCTTCTATTTCAAACAAAATAAACTCCCCATTTCCTACATAATCCTTGACTTAGCACTGATTTACACTGCCCTCTGCCTAAAATCATTCCTCCATTCAAAGCTTGCCAATATTTTGTTAAAGCCAGCTAAATGTCTCCTATTTTATAAAGGTTTTCCTGATTCCCTGTCTGAATTCTCATAAATGCACCTCTTAAGGGACTTAGTACTTTCTCATACTAATTCTTATTAGTTATACTACTCCAAACATGAGAGCAAGCTACTTATAGACAGATTCGGTGTTTACCTTTTTACTGCCCATAACTGATCACAATAGTCACTGAAGTTTAAATAACTGAAACTAGTACTCCAGTAACAGTCTCCAATCAGGTACCATGGGAGGGAAGACAGAGGTAACTGCAGCGTATCACACATGTGAACATCTACCAGAGGCCTTTTAAACCCAATGTCACACTATTGTCATCCCTACATGCTAAAATATGTCTAATTTCACTTGATTTTATTTTGGCCAAGATGCTTAAGACTGGTTTAAACTGCCTATAACATAGCTCCCTAGTGCATCTGTAAATACTGATCCTATGATCACTACTTTGTGAATAGAAAGTCCTTTGTCTACAGAACTCTTACACCGCTATAAACAAGAACTCTCAAAAAGCAGATCTAAGATTAAGCAAATCCAAGAGGCAATCTGAATTACAGTTTGGAATTTTAAAATCAAGTACAAAACCTCCTCTCTGAATCTGATATCGCAAAATTTTGATAGAGAGAAATGGGGAAAAGTATCTGGGACGTAAAGCAAGTTTTTAAACATATAATGCTGAAAACCATCTGGGTAAATATCACTAAATTACATATTTCTATTGATAAATCCTTACGGTGTAGAACAAAAAACGGGAAGAAAGAACCCTCTGAGAAGCACAAATAGCTATGAAACTACTTTTTTTTTTAATCTATGTCTAACAAGACTTGTGAATTTATTCCCAAGCCCTTAGTAAACTATGTGCAAATTATGTGGTGAGAAGCTGCCTACACATGCTGAAAGCAGAGAAAAGTGAATGTTGTCAGTCTAACAGTAAGATAGAGGGGAAAAAATTTTGGAGAGTAAGCTGAATAGCTCAAAAAGCAGAGCAGCCTGAGAGGAAAGGGAGCAAAAGTTCCTACCAAGCTGAAGGGGTCTTCACAACTTCAACATGTTACAGCTTAACACAATCATTAATCTTCATGATGTGAAATCTTAAGTTATCTATCGAGTAAATTGTTTCTTCGTTTGTTTAAAAACAAAAAAACGTTGTGACAGCACTTAGAAAGGCATTATCCAAAACCTGTGGCTCTTCAGAGATAACCCTGAATTCCTTAGAAAATTCAAGTGCGTGGAATGTTCCATTTCTTTTACACACAGAATGAAGATTTTACTCCTTTATACCAAATCATTTTGTATCTTCTTTATTAGCATTACTATCAGCATCTGTGACTGTGAGCTTGGACTTAACAACTGATACAGTTACAGCACTAAGCAACACAAAACTCCAGCACCTTCTTCACTTCTTTAAAAGTAACAAGTTTCTAGCACTGAAAGTACCTGCCTTTTCTTAGGTTCTTCAATCTCGGGCACTAAGTATAAAGTAAATTTTGAGAAAACTAACTCCAGACACTCAAAAGTTAATTCTAATCTGAGGGCTAACTGGTTTTCTCTTCTTCTACTTTGTAGTCGTCTAATTCCTGGTATCACTACAAGTAAGGATATAAGATTTCTCATTATCGAAATCATCCTGTCATCATTACTCCTATCAATGATGCTAATAATGTGATTGTCCTGGACTGATGTATCAAAGAACATCTCAGAAAACTTAGGAAGGCTCAGAGATTAAAGTTATCACAGCCACAAAACAACAGCAGAAATGGGTCTGATTTCTAGTTAAGTATTCACCCATCATTCATCAAAGAGTTCACATCTCAAATGAAAATTTTTTAAAAGTGCATTCATTATCTTAACTTGTTATATAAAAAGACTGTTTCACCATCTTTGATACAATGTGATGTGAACGAGGCTTGTGGAAGCCTGCATGATGGTGGATTTGCACTCACTTGTCCATGCTCAACTGACCTCATTTGTAAGCAAATCTGAAAGACCATCAACCACCATAGAAAAACAGTGCAACTATCCGGCTCTTACAACATGCTGGCAGCAACGCTACCCATTCCAACGTGCAAAATCCACCACATACTGCTAAGCTCAGCCTGGAATCCCAATCAGGCACTTAGAAAAACACACACACAAAACCTGCAATGGGTAGGGCCTATTCACTTGGCCATCCAACAGTCTTCCAGCTTCTCCAAGACCGTCACAGGATTATTCCTGGACTGGTCAAACATAACAAAGTATTCGGAAAGAATAACCTCTAATAATTGCATATAACTATAAACAGAAAAATGACAGGCCAGAAAAACACCATTCTGATTATTAACAAACCTTTCCTTAAAAAACTGCCAAATAAAAGTTCGAAGGTTTTCTCTTGCCTAGAGACATCGAAAATTATTTGGAGATGTTGCCTGTGGGGGGAAAACTATTAGTTTGATCCTGAGAGATTATAATAAATTTCAAAAATATTGAAGGCTAAGTCTACATTAAATGACTCAGGAATTTGAGGTCAGAGTACATAGGATACACAAGATTCACATCGGTATTCATCTTAATCATGATCAAGCATAATTTCAAATTTCCCCCATAATTTTGTTAAAATATTTTTTCAAATCGAATTCTTTTGCAAGATGAACAGTCATAAAAAAAAAAAAAAACAGAAAAAGTACGAACTACAGCGCCTGCCTGCATTATCTGCAGATTATCTGAAGTTCTCTGAGCAGACAGATAATCAGGAAAATCAATATACCACATTATTAGGTACACCTTGTATATTCACGTATCACAATGCATTCTTCATATTATCTTCCAACTCCCTAAAGAAAGCTCCGGAGTACAGAGAACTTGGCCTCTGGCAATCCATCACCAATCCAGTTCTTAGGGAAGAGTCCAGGAGAGACAAAGGAGGCAGGAAACCCACCAAACAAAAGGAGAAGGCGGCGGAGGTCAGGTGCGGGAGCATCTGATATACAAGTTTGGAAAAATCTCAATTTCCATTCTACAGATGCTCAGTCAGTGGAAGCGAGAGTGGCCAGAAGGATTCCGTGATCCTTCTCACGGGGGGGCGGGAAGGATTAAAAGACTGATTTCTGCGTCTTCTCCAAAAATAGAAGTTGTCAATCCCTGGCAGTTCCGAATCAGTTACTATCCAAGAATTGTCACGAAATGCCGTGCTCGGCTCTGGCAGCCAGACTGACCCGGGGCAGCGGCCGAGGCCGAGTAGGAAACGCCACAGCGAGGCCTGCACCGCCCCTCAGCCTCGGGTGCTCGTCTCCAACCGCGAGAGGTCACCCGCCCAAAGCAGGGCGCTGGCGCCTCGGCCCGGGCGGGTTTCTCCCTCTCCTCCGCTTCCGCAGGCAGCGAGCGCAGCCGCCAGGGCTCGGCCGTTACCCCGCGCCCGAGCCTCGCGGCCCGGGTTCTCCATTTCCCCGCCCGCCCCTCACACTGGGATCCGCCCGCTCGCCCCGGAACGCGGGGCGCCCCCAAGCCGCCCGTGCCCCCAACCCACGACTCCCGTCAGGAAAACTACGGCTGACGGCAGAACCAGACCCCCGAGGACCTGCGACCCGCGGGCCGTGCAGGAGGCAGGGGTGCGCCCACCGTCAGGCCGGTGCCCAGCACGATCACGTCGTACTCCTCATTCATGGCGGGGCAGGCGCGGACGCAGGACCCGAGAAAGGAGAAGGCGCAGGAGCTCCGGGACCACCCTCCGAGGCTGGAAGCGCTCTCGGGCGCGAGGGAAAGAGGAAGAGAGAGGACAGGAAAATGGAGCTGGCGACGAAGGCAGACCGGCCGCCACCTCAGACGGGAACAGAACTAAGCAGGGAGTGGAGGGGTGGGAAGGGAAGGCGGTGACTGAGCCTCCGCAGCCGGGGCGTGGCCTGCAGGCGCCGCGAGGGCCGCCAATCAGGCACTCCCGTAACTCTCACTGGCTACGTGCTTGTCTCTCGCTCAACTTTTTCCTTCCCCGCCTCTCGCGAGAGGAAACGGGTGGAGCGTCACCATTTTGGCTTCCGGTCTCCGTGCAGCTTCTGCCACGGTGGTCCGGGAGGCGGCGCGCGCATTGGGGCGGAGGTGCACGGAACAGCGGGCGGGGACAGGTCCCGGCCACCACGCTCCTGACCCCCGCCGTCGGGGCGGGAGCTCGCACGGTCCAAGGTCCCAGAGCTGGACCGCCGCCCTAGAACTTTGAGCGGGCGCGTGCGGTGTGCACGTGGGCGAGGAACGCGCGCCAGGCCTTCTTTGGGGGTGGCGGCCGCGGTTCCTCCGCGGGGCTGGGTTCGCCGGGGCCCGGAGCCCGCCGGGAAGAGTTCGGAGATCACACGTGTCCTGTTTCCCGCCCTGTATCCTCCCTGTTTGGTGCTTTGCCGGGCGGGTGCCTTAGGAAATTGGGAGGAGGAAAAGCGGCTTCTTTTGAAAAAGTAACCCTTAGATGAGAGTGAAGGCCAGGTTTCATTGGGAAGCCAATCTGCACCTACCGAGGACTGTAACTTAAAGCCGCTGTAAATGTCGTAGCTGGTCTTGGTGTGCAAAGTTTAGGCCGTAAGAAACTGCTCCTTGCTTGCCTTCTACCCGCTCTTCCCTTTTTCTAGAATTCTGTTAGGAATCTAGCTTCAGTGAGGACACAGGTGTAAGCAGACCCCACGAAAGCCTAGGCAGGTGAATTTCCCAAAGGCATTGATACTTGGAAAACCTGTGTTTTCAGCGCGTGATAAATCTGCGTAGTCAGCAAACAATAAAGATTTGGTATTCAAGAATTCAAGTACTTCTCTATGGCAGCTATTCAGAGCATGCCTTGATAGACCGAACTTCATGTTTAAATCATTCCGATTGAAGAAAGAATGAAACAAGTTTTCACAACGTTTCTCACCCATGAGGAAGGTATATTATATTGGACCATGGACCTTTTGGTGGGGGAGGGGAGAAGAAAGCAAAAGTGAAGTTTAAATTTACGTTCAGCCTTAATTTGATTGTGTATATTTGTGACCAAATGAATTAGTGCAAAGTTGGCCATGCAACTGATTATGCAAGTGAGTGTAACTGTTCTATTGGCTAAGTAGATCATGACTAAAGAAGGTCCGTCTGTTGCTGTCTTCAAGTGATCAGGGGGTCATACTACCTCTATTAATGAAATACCCTTTTTAAAAATTTTTCTGAGACACTCTCGCTCTGTCGTCCAGGCTGGAGTGCAGCAGTGCAATCATGGCTCACTGCAGCCTCAATAAAATGAATGGCATGAGCCCGCAGTCCCAGCTACTCAGGAGGCTGAGCTGGGAGGATCACTTGAGCTCGGGAAGGTCAAGGCTACAGTGAGCTGTGATGAACCATCCTCCCACCTCAGTCTCCGGAGTAGCAGAGACCAGAAGTACAGGCCACCACACCTGACTTCTGACCCATTTTTTTTCAACTAGCAATAACAAGAGCCTTTTTCATAATTGCCCATCAGCCTCTGACTGTTGAAGTGGAATTTAAGCATATCAGCTGAATTATGTTACCATGTTTTAGATGAAGACTATTTCATCAATACTCAGAATTACTGAGAAACTTCAAAACACTGAGATAAGGGAATTGAATTTAAGGCTAATACGGATCCCTTCCTTACACCGACGTTCAGTTCTCAGTACAGGGCCTATTGCCCTACAGAAGGACGACAATCAAACCTGGACTGAGCTTCAATGGACTGAGTCCATCTAAAATTCTCTACCTGGGCAGGGCATGATGGTTCACACCTGTAATCCCAACACTTTGGGAGGCTGAGGTGGGAGGATCACTTGGGGCCAGGAGTTCGAAACCAACCTGGGCTGTAGAGCCTGGGCAACAAACTGAGACCTGTCTCTATAAAAAATTAGCTGGACATGATGGCAAGAGCCTGCAGTTCCAACTTCTCATGAGGCAGAGCTGGGAGGATCACTTGAGCCCCAGAAGGTCAAGTCTACAGTGAGCCATGATGATGCCACTGCACTCCAGCCTGGGGAACAGAACAAGGTCCTGTCTCAAAAAAAGAAAATTCTGTGCCTCTTCTTGGATCTTTCACCCCCACCCATTCTAGTTGCTAGGGAACTTTTAAATAACAAATACTGCTTAAGGTGAAGAGGCTTGAAAGCCACTAATTGGTTCAGTGGATCTCATGCCACAGATGGTAGTTCCTGCTAGAGTGAAACCTTAGGTTTAGGGGAAGTAGGCTGGTTGGTGAAGATGAGTGGAAAACATCAAAATACCAAAATTAGCCAGGCATGGTGGCTCGTGCCTGTAGTCCCAGCTACTCGGGAGTCTGAGGCAGGAGAATCGCTTGAACCCAGGAGGTGAAGGTTGCAGTAAGCCAAGATTGTGCCACTGCACCCCAGCTTGGGGGACAGAGCAAGACTCCATCTCAAAAAAAAAAAAACATTGTACATCCTTAAATATGACCTAATCCCTCAATCCAGCCTCTGCAGATCTCTCCAACTCTATCTTGTAGTGCCCCCTGGCTTCTTGACCATTAAACCACACACACGCTTGTGTTTCAGTTCCTAGAATCTGGTCCAGCCTTTAACCACACAAGGGCCTTTGCATTCTTGGTTCCATGGTACCACCCCTCACGTCCCCCTGCACCCCTTCACACAGCTACTTTTTCCACTTCCTTAGGTTTCAGCTTTCCCCTCCACCATCATTCTTTATCAGCACCCTGCTTATTCCTCTCACTGCTTTTCTTGTTGTTTGCCTGGCAAAGTGGATATAAACGCCATAGGGGAAGGGATATTAAGCCTGGACACTGTGTAAAGGATGAGTAACTAACAAATGAATAGGGGACCTGGAAGTTGAGCCCTAGATCAACAAGGACTGAATGTGATGAAATGGGCATTAGTTCCTTTTTTTTTTTTTTTTTTTTTTTTTTTTTTTTTTTTTTTTTTAGATACGGGGTCTCACTGTGTCCCCAAGCTGGAGTGCAGTGGCACAACCAGAGCTCTGTGCAGCCTCCGCCTCCCGGGTTGAAGTGATCCTCCCTCCTCCACCTCCTAAGTAGCTGGGAATACAGGCATGTGCCACCACACGTGCTAATTTTTGTATTTCTCGTAGAGATAGAGTGTCACCTTGTTGCCCAGACTAGTCTCCAACTCCTGGGCTCAAGCAGTCTGCCCGCCACAGCGTCCCTAAGAGCTGCAGTTACTTAGGTGTGAGCCACCACGCCAGGCCCCAGTTCCTCTTGATACTTTGGAGAAGTACAGCTTTTCTTCTAGGAAGACATATTAATACTAATATTTTAAAGAGTCTTAGAGATAGGACCTATAAAATATAAACCTGTGTAAAACCTGGATAGCTAATGCTACAGAGGAAACATAGTGGGATCTCTGGAAAGGAATTTTAACATAGTTCCAAAAATATCTATTTCCTAGCTTATGATCATTTGCCCACAACCATCCCTACAAACTGTTTGCTCCCAGTCTTTATTTATTTTTGAGACAAGAGTTTTGCTTTTGTCACCCAGGTTGGAGTGCAGTGGCATGATCTCGGCTCACTCCAACCTCTGCCTCCCAGGTTCAAGTGATTCTCCTGCCTCAGCATCCCAAGTAGCTGGGATTACAGGTGCCAGCTACCACAGCCAGCTAATTTTTATATTTTTAGTAGAGACAGAGTTTCACCATGTTGGCCAGGCTGGCCATGAACTCCTGGCCTCAAGTGATCCACCCACCTTAGCCTCCCAAAGTGTTGGGATTACAGTGTGAGCCACGGTGCCCAGCCCTGCTCCTAATCTTTATTTCTGCTCAAACCAGAATTCTAGATATCATCCTTGATCCTGTCTCCTTTCTCTCCTTCCATATCTATTCTGGTTTTCTATTGCAGTGTACAAACCACTCCAAAATTCAGTGGCTTAAAAAAAAAAAAAAAAAACAACTAGCGGCTTAAAACAACAATATACTATCTGTATGGATCGAATGGGTCAGCCGGATGGCAATTGCCTGGGTCTTTCACACAGCTTCAGTTAGTGGCTGGGTGCAGTCATCTGAAGGTTCTACTGAATTTGACGTTCAAGATGGCACATTCACATGGCTGGCAGCGGAGGCTGGCCATCGGCTGGAGCTGGGGCTGTCAACCGGAGCAGCTATGCATGGCCTCTCTGTTTGGCTTGCACTTCTCAGAGTGGTTGTCTTGAAAGAAACAAGCAGTGGAAGTCTCTGAAAGCCTGGGCCCGGAAACTGGCCCAGAGTCACTTCTGCCTTGTTCTATTTGTCTGCACAGTCACAGGGCACACGGAAATTCAGATGCAAGAACTGCAGAGCCTGTCTTCCCATTGGAAGAGTGTTAACAAATCAGTAGCCTGCTTGCTTGCTCTCCCTTCCTGTGACTGTACTTTTTTAAGTAGAGATGGGATTTCACCATGTTAGCCAGGATGGTCTCGATCTCGTGACCTTGTGATCTGCCCACCTCAGCCTCCCAAAGTGCTGGGATTACAAGTGTCAGCCACCACACCCGGCCTCCTTCTAAGTATTTTAAATGGAGATAATGTAGGGAATTGATTTCAAAACAGTTGAAAGAGCTGGGGCGGCGGGGGTGGGGGTTTGAAATAAGGTTGCCCAGAGATCTAGAACTGCCTGAAACTCTAGGCTGGAGCAAGAGGGAAACTTCTGTTGCTCTGTGTTTGGCAATGGTGTTTCCCAATGATTGTGCTGCTGAGGCCATCCACCACCATTACTGCCACTGCCAGAGTTCCTCTGTCTCTGAAGCTACTGAAATGACTCCTGTCACAGCTATTTCTGGGCCCTGGGTGCCCACTCATTGGGGTGGCTGCTACCACTAGGGGCAGTGCCACCAAAGCAGAGGACATGGCATCTCTCTTCCTCCTCGCTCCAGTCTTCCACCAGTGCCTTCCATTGCAGGCTCTCAGTCCCGGAAATGCAGAGGAATCCAAGGATGGAGCTGGGAGCTAACAGACCGATGACTGGCGTGGCTACACCAAACGTGTGTGTTCCAGCTGGGCATGGTGGCTCACGCCTGTAATCCCAGCACTTTGGGAGGTGAGACCAGCAGATCACAAAGTCAGGAGTTCAAGACCAGCCTGGCCAACATACCGAAACCCCGTCTCTACTAAAAATACAAAAATTAGCTGGGCGTGGTGGTGGGCACCTGTAGTCCCAGCTGCTTGGGAGGCTGAGGCAAGAGAATTCCTTGAACCCAAGAGGCAGAGGTTGCAGTGAACCAACATCACGCCACTGCACTCCATCCTGGGTGACAGAGCGAGACTCTGTCTCAAAAAGAAAATATTTAAGGCAGGGGTTCCTAATTTGAGTATAATCGTGATGAAGGGGCATTTTTTTTTTCAGAGAGAGGCTCCATTATCCCAAAGGGGTCAATGACTCCGAAAGATTAAGATACCATCCATATAAACAAACGAATTCATTTACCATGTTCTTGCTACTTAGCTGAAGGAAAAAATAACTTCTGGGAAGAAACAGTATCAAAGACCATTTCCAGGAGTTGCTCTGAACCTAATCTAGTTCAGGAGGCTGCCTGATTACCTTTGAAATTTTAAAAAAGAGCATTTCTCAAAAAAAAAAAAAAATCCTGAGCAGGATGTCTCAAAAAAATTTTTTTAAAAGCATTCCAATGGCTTGCAGTCTTAGTCCATTTATGTTGCTATAAAGGAACACCTGAAGCTGGGTAGTTTATAAAGAAAAGAGGTTTCTTTGGCTCATGGTTCTGCAGGCTGTACAAGAAGCATGGGATCAGCATTTGCTTCTGGTGAGGCCACAGGAAGCCTCCACTCATGGCAGAAGGCAAAGTGGTCCCATGTGCAGAGATCACATAGTGAGAGAGGAAGGAAGGAAAAGACAAAGGTGCCAGTCTCTTTTCAACAACCAGTTCTTGCAGGAACTAATAGCAAGAACACATTCATAATCAGGAGGATGGCACCAAGACATGCATGATGGATCTGCCCCCACAATCCAAAACACCTCCCACCAGGCCCACTTCCAACACTAGGGACCAAATTTCGTTTTTTCTTTCTTTCTTTTTATTTTTTTTAAGAGACGGAGTCTCGCTATGTTGCCCAGGCTGGAGTGCAGTGGCTATTCACAGGCACGATCCCACTACTGATCAGCACCGGAGTTTTTACCTGCTCCGTTTCCAACCTGGGCCAGTTCACCCCTCCTTAGGCAACCTGGTGGTCCCCCACTCCCGGGAGGTCACCATATTGATGCCAGACTTAGTGCGGACACCCGATCGGCATAGTGCACTGCAGCCCAGAACTCTGGGGCTCCTCACCCTGGATCCTCCCACCTCAGCCTCCTGAGTAGCTGAGACTACAGGCACGCGCCACCACGCCCGGCTAGGGACCAAATTTCAACCTGCGATTTGGAGGGACAAACATCCAAGCTACATTACTTGCCACAGATCACAACGTTTATTGAACTTCCATACGTAGGGGAATGAAATCAGCACCTAGACTGATAGACACATGGAAATGGAAAATAAAATTCCAAGAGAAATCACGTGCAAGTGTGTGATTAGTACGAGCTCCATGGGGCACTTTGTATAGAAGGACTAGGAGTTGGTGGCACTGGGTGGGGCTTGTGCATAGTGGCAGAGAAAGTCAGCCAGGTGCCCTGATTCCTAAAAGACTGGTAAGTACGGTGCCAGCATGTCTTAGACCCATTCGCTCTTCAAAAGGCTTCAACTCATTCTAGCACAACTATCATGGATAAACTACGACCATTGACTATTCATTTAATTTCTTTGTACCATTCTAAAGACTAGATTGATCTCTAAGCTGCCCAGGCCTTAATGTTTCTGAGGTCACTTTAGTCATTCACTTGAATACTTCTTGTGTTAATTAAAGAGATTTGGGGGTGGGCATGGTGGCTCATGCCTATAATCTCGACACTTTGGGAGGCCAAGGTGGGCAGATCACCTGAGGTCAGGATTTGGAGGTGGCCAACATGGTGAAACCCCGTCTCTACTAAAATGCAAAAATTAGCCAGACATGGTGGCGGGCGACTGTAGTCCCAGCTACTTAGAAGGCTGAGGCAGGAGAATCACTTGAACCCCAGAAGTGGAGGTTGCAGTGTGCCGAGATTGAGAAAGAAAGAGAGAGAGGAAGGAGATTTTGATTACAAGGAAGGAAGGAAGAAGGAAGGAGGGAGGGAAGAGGGACAGAAAAGAGAGAAAAAAAGAGAGAGAAAAGAAGGAAGGAATAAATCTGAATGGCCCAGCTTGGGGCCTGTGTCCAACTTAATTCAATTAATCGTAGCCAGGTATTAATAGTATTACGTGGCAGACATATGGCTGCCGGAAATCCACACCTGTGGAAAGGATGGCCATTTCCCAGAAAAGAGGGATGGACAGATATCCTAGTATAAGTGTCAGTTCCATCTCCTTAATTCTAGATGTGAA